CATTACATTTTAGTCATTTAGCAGACGCTCTTAACCAGAGCGACTTACAGGAGCAATTAGGGTTAAGTGCCTTGCTCAAGGGCACATTAACGTCATTTAGCAGACGCTCTTAGCCAGAGCGACTCACAAATTGGTGCGTTCACCCTATAGCCAGTGGGATAACCACTTTACAATTTGGGGGGGGGGTTAGAAGGAATACTTTATCCTATCCCAGGTATTCCTTAAAGAGGTGGGGTTTCAAATGTCTCCGGAAGGTGGTGAGTGACTCCGCTGTCCTGGCGTCGTGAGGGAGCTTGTTCCACCATTGGGGTGCCAGAGCAGCGAACAGTTTTGACTGGGCTGAGCGGGAGCTATGCTTCCGCAGAGGAAGGGGAGCCAGCAGGCCAGAGGTGGATGAACGCAATGTCCTCGTTTGGGTGTAGGGACTGATCAGAGCCTGAAGGTACAGAGGTGCCGTTCCCCTCACTGCTCCATAGGCAAGCACCATGGTCTTGTAGCGGATGCGAGCTTCAACTGGAAGCCAGTGGAGTGTGCGGAGGAGGGGGGTGACGTGAGAGAACTTGGGAAGGTTGAACACCAGACGGGCTGCGGCATTCTGGATGAGTTGTAGGGGTTTAATGGCACAGGCAGGGAGCCCAGCCAACAGCGAGTTGCAGTAGTCCAGACGGGAGATGACAAGTGCCTGGACCAGGACCTGCGCCGCTTCCTGTGTAAGGCAGGGTCGCACTCTCCGAATGTTGTAGAGCATGAACCTGCAGGAGCGGGTCACCGCCTTGATGTTGGCGGAGAACGACAGGGTGTTGTCCAGGGTCACGCCTAGGCTCTTCGCACTCTGGGAGGAGGACACAGCGGAGTTGTCAACCGTGATGGCGAGATCATGGAACGGGCAATCCTTCCCCGGGAGGAAGAGCAGCTCCGTCTTGCCAGGGTTCAGCTTGAGGTGGTGATCCGTCATCCATACTGATATGTCTGCCAGACATGCAGAGATGCGATTCGCCACCTGGTTATCAGAAGGGGGAAAGGAGAAGATTAGTTGTGTATCGTCAGCGTAGCAATGATAGGAAAGGCCATGTGAGGATATGACAGAGCCATGTGACTTGGTGTATAGGGAGAAAAGGAGAGGGCCCAGAACCGATCCCTGGGGGACACCAGTGGTGAGAGCACGTGGTGCGGAGACAGCTTCCCGCCACGCCACTTGGTAGGAGCGACCGGTCAGGTAGGACGCAATCCAGGAGTGAGCCGCGCCGGAGATGCCCATCTCGGAGAGGGTGGAGAGGAGGATCTGATGGTTCACAGTATCAAAGGCAGCAGACAGGTCTAGAAGGACAAGAGCAGAGGAGAGAGAGTTAGCTTTAGCAGTGCGGAGAGTCTCCGTGACACAGAGAAGAGCAGTCTCAGTTGAATGACCAGTCCTGAAACCTGATTGGTTTGGATCAAGAAGGTCATTCTGAGAGAGATAGCAAGAGAGTTGGCTAAAGACGGCACGCTCAATAGTTTTGGAAAGAAAAGAAAGAAGGGATACTGGTCTGTAGTTGTTGACATCAGTGGGGTCGAGTGTTGGTTTTTTGAGAAGGGGAGTAACTCTCGCTCTCTTGAAGACGGAAGGGACATGGCCAGCGGTCAAGGATGAGTTGATCAGCGAGGTGAGGTAGGGGAGAAGGTCACCGGAGATGGTCTGGAGAAGGGAGGAGGGGATGGGGTCAAGCGGGCAGGTTGTTGGGCGGCCTGCAGTCACAAGTCGCAGGATTTTATCTGGAGAGAGAGGGGAGAAAGAAGTCAAAGCATAGGGTAGGGCAGTGTGAGCAGGACCAGCAGTGTCATTAGACTTAACAAACGAGGATCGGATGTCGTCAACCTTCTTTTCAAAGTGGTTGACGAAGTCATCCACAGAGAGAGAGGAGGGGGGGGGGGGGGGGGGGGGAGGATTCAGGAGGGAGGAAAATGTGGCAAAGAGCTTCCTAGGGTTAGAGGCAGATGCTTGGAATTTAGAGTGGTAGAAGGTGGCCTTAGCAGCAGAAACAGATGAAGAAAATGTAGAGAGGAGGGAGTGAAAAGATGCCAGGTCGGCAGGGAGTTTAGTTTTCTTCCATTTCCGCTCCGCTGCCCGGAGCTCTGTTCTGTGAGCTCGCAATGAGTCATCAAGCCACGGAGCTGGAGGGGAGGACCGAGCCGGCCGGGAGGATAGGGGACACAGAGAGTCAAAGGATGCAGAAAGGGAGGAGAGGAGGGTTGAGGAGGCAGAATCAGGAGATTGGAGGGAGAAGGATTGAGCAGAGGGAAGAGATGATAGGATGGAAGAGGAGAGAGTAGTGGGAGAGAGAGAGCGAAGGTTGCGGCGGCGCATTACCATCTGTGTAGGGGCAGAGTGAGTAGTGTGGGAGGAGAGTGAGAGAGAAAAGGAAACAAAGTAGTGGTCGGAGACATGGAGGGGAGTTGCAGTGAGATTAGTAGAGGAGCAGCATCTAGTGAAGATGAGGTCAAGCGTATTGCCTGCCTTGTGAGTAGGGGGGGACGGTGAGAGGGTGAGGTCAAAAGAGGAGAGGAGTGGAAAGAAGGAGGCAGAGAGAAATGAGTCAAATGTGGACATAGGGAGGTTGAAATCCCCCAAAACTGTGAGGGGTGAGCCATCCTCAGGGAAGGAACTTATCAAGGCGTCAAGCTCATTGATGAACTCTCCAAGGGAACCTGGAGGGCGATAGATGACAAGGATATTAAGCTTAAATGGGCTAGTGACTTTGACAGCATGGAATTCAAATGAGGAGATAGACAGATGGGTTAGGGGAAAAATTGAGAATGTCCACTTGGGAGAGATGAGGATTCCTGTACCACCACCCCTCTGACCAGATGCTCTCGGGGTATGCGAGAACACATGGTCAGACGAGGAGAGAGCAGTAGGAGTAGCGGTGTTTTCAGTGGTGATCCATGTTTCCGTCAGCGCCAGGAAGTCGAGGGACTGGAGGTTGGCATAGGCTGGGATGAAGTCAGCTTTGTTGGCAGCAGAACGGCAGTTCCAGAGGCTGCCTGCGACCTGGAACTCCACGTGGGTGGTGCGTGCAGGGACCACCAGGTTGGAGAGGCAGCAGCCACGCGGTGTGGTGCGTTTGTGTAGCCTGTGCAGAGAGGAGAGAACAGGGATAGGCAGAGGCATAGTTGACAGGCTGTAGCAAATGGCTACAAAAATGCAGAGGAGATCGGAATGAAATGGACTAAGCATCTGGGAGCGGAGAGAGCAGGGCCTCCCTCACCAAAAACTTCTACCTCAGAAACTAAAATTGTTTCACTGAACCACCCGAACAAAAAACTCTCCCAACTTCCGCCTTTGGAAATCAGAATTGTTGTGAACCACAGCGGTTCAATGTTTAAAGGAATAGACTCAACCCACTTTGTTCAGCTAGCCAACTATGACACCATAGCCAACTAGCAGACTAGCATCCAATAACAATAACACACCGTTTAGCACCAACACTTGGTCACAACAAACCACCAATAATGTGATAACACACTAAACAGATCATTCGTGTCTGTGTCAAGTTCCTTTCATGACGCAGCAATGATTAGACGTTGGCTAGCTAGGACAAGTATATTGTGGTTAGCTACTACAGTACAGCCAGCTGGTCATGTTGGGTAGCTAGCAATGGCCACTGTGTTGACTCTGTTTGAAGAACGGCTAGCTAGCTAGCTTCGTGCTACAGCCGGCACGGCCGAGGACACTGCCAAGACACAGTAACTACCCACAACAACCCACGAAGCCTAGCTATGACGCCGTAGCCAACCTGCAAGCTAGCATCCATTAGCACACAACTTAGCATCAACACCTGGCCACAACAAACTGCCAAGAGTGTGTCAGCACACCAAACAGACAATTCAAGTCCGTGTCGAGTTCCCTTCACAACGCAGCAAAAAAAAAAAAGATTTGTTGCCTTACAACCTGGAATTAAAATTGATTTTTTAGGGGTTTCTTTTTTCATTCCACTTCACCAATTTGGACTATTTTGTGTATGTCCATTACATGAAATCCAAATAAAAATCAATTTAAATTACAGGTTGTAATGCAACAAAATAGGAAAAACGCCAAGGAGGATGAATACTTTTGCAAGGCACTGTACTCATGTTACATACATGTTACATGTACTCAACATTTATATGTCAAAACAGAGTATAATGTCCATAAAATAATAATATGCCATTTAGCAGACGCTTTTATCCAAAGCGACTTACAGTCATGTGTGCATATATTTTTACATATGCGTGGTCCCGGGGATCGAACCCACTACCCTGGCGTTACAAGCGCCATGCTCTACCAATTGAGCTACAGAGGATGTCTCCCTGCACAGGAAAAATATTGTTTTCACATATCCAATTAACCTGTTTACTGGTTTTTATTGAGTAGGACTGTTGGACTTCCCAAGGTGATTGATTGGAAATGGACTGTATTGAAAATCTAAATACTCAGACAGGGATATACTGACACCTTCTGGTGATCTTTTGAATTAACCCTGGTTGATTGTTCAATGGGTTTTTGTTGAAGATGTACACTCTCACACGCTGCAATTTGCATGCTTGATTTAAAACGGTTTTATTTTATCCTGGGCACCAGTCTGTTTCTGCTCTCTTGCCAACTCCTCATGGAATTGTCTAAAATGACAAAAGCACAAACAAATCTGAGACCAGGCTAGTTTTGTTTATCTAGTTTAAGATAAATGTAATCTAAATTGATGTGTTTAGTGGGGGTTGCAAAGTGCTTTTAGCATTGGTTTGCAGCTATGTAGATTAGTAAACATAGTTGCACACATGTTGTAGATTAAAATCTCAAAGGAAGAAGACGAATTCCAGATTTTTTCAATGGCCACTATTTTAGAATTCTATCCAATGTGTGGGGGGGCATTCCAATAGAATTCAGAATGATCTCCAAATGATTGTTTCCATAGAGACGTTACAAACTAAGAGTGTAGAAATGTTGTTTTCATTCAAATATGCAAAGTGTTGATTCACTGCAAGACATGGAGGTGGTTCAGCCCTATGCAGAGAAATATCTCATGAAGCTGACATTCTATGCAGAAGACGATCCTGCTTTCAATTTAGGTAAATATTTTTGAAAATGTACAATTTGACATAGCCACCAATTTATATTTTTTTGGTCAGAGTTATTTCAAACTATTTCATAGTTCCATTCTTTGTCTCATGATTGGGCAGTTTTCTTGAAGGAAACATACACAGTGACTGTGCGTCTGACCAACACAGCGGAGAAGCCTCTGACACAGCAGAACCTGCAGTGTGTGGCCCTCAGCATCCCATACCTCCACTACCGTCTCACAGGCCTTCCTTATGCCCCAGGTCTCCTCCCCCTTGCCCACCTCCAGACAGACCCTCTACCCCTGGACTACAGCGTTTCAATTAGACCTACACCAACCCTGGATCCCAGAAGGCAGACATTGGACAGAGTCTCTCTGGAACATTCCACTATTCCCCTGACCAAGATGTCTCTTCCTGAGGACCAGCTCCATGGCTCTCAGGGGGATAGCGGGAGCAGCAGGATTACTGACTGGTTTCTCTGTGACGGGTCCTTTGTGCCAGACTTCCCAGGGAAGGAGTGGACCTCTGTGAACTACGGAGGCCTGGAGTTTATAAGGGCTTTCTCCCCAATCAGACAGACTGACGATGCAGCTGATATACTGGGAAGGTGTAATATCACTGATTACACTGCTTACGAGCAGTTTGTCTTCTCTATCGATGTGGACATCCTCAAGGCAAAAGGTCCTTCAGGAAGAGAGGAAGCTAGTCCCGCCTCCAAAAGGAAAGAGGGGAATAGTTTTGTAAGAGAGGTCACTAGTTTGGACGACAAATGGGACAAGGGGAATAGTTTAGAAAGAGAGGAAGCTAGTCCCGCCTCCAAAAGGGAAGAGGGGAATAGTTTTGTAAGAGAGGTCACTAGTTTGGACGACAAATGGGACAAGGGGAATAGTTTAGAAAGAGAGGATGCTACTTCCGCCTACACATGGGAAGAGATGAATAATTTAGACAGAGAGGACACTAGTTCCACCTACAAAGAGGAAGAAGGGAATCGTTTTGGAAGAAAGGCTGGTAGTTCCCCCTACAAAAGAAAAGAGAGGACAAAGTACCGGGATGTACAGAAGCGAGGACCAAACCAAAGACGGGGAAGAAAGATAACTAAATTATCCTTAAGGCCTTAATATGGCCAGACTATGAAAGTTTAGATATGATTCAAAGTATTTTACAGTTTAAGTCGGAAGTTTACATGCACCTTAGCCAAATACATTTAAAAACTCAGTTTTTCACAATTCCTGACATTTAATCCTAGTAAAAATGTCCTGTCTTAGGTCAGTTAGGATCACCACTTTATTTTAAGAATGTGAAATGTCAGAATAATAGTAGAGAGAATGATTTATTTCAGCTTTTATTTTTTTCATCACATTCCCAGTGGGTCAGAAGTTTACATACACTCAATAAGTATTTGGTAGCATTGCCTTTAAATTGTTTAACTTGGGTCAAACGTTTTGGGTAGCCTTCCACAAGCTTCCCACAATAAGTTGGGTGAATTTTGGCCCATTCCTCCTGACAGAGCTGGTGTAACGGAGTCAGGTTTGTAGGCCTCCTTGCTCGCACACGCTTTTTCAGTTCTGCCCACACATTTTCTATAGGATTGAGGTCAGGGCTTTGTGATGGCCACTCCAATACCTTGACTTTGTTGTCCTTAAGCCATTTTGCCACAACTTTGGAAGTATGCTTGGGGTCATTATCCATTTGGAAGACCCATTTGCGACCAAGCTTTAACTTCCTGACTGATGTCTTGAGATGTTGCTTCAATATATCCACATAATTTTCCTTCCTCATGATGCCATCTATTTTGTGAAGTGCACCAGTCCCTCCTACAGCAAAGCACCCCCACAGCATGATGCTGGCACCCCTGTGCTTACACCCGTGCTTCACGGTTGGAATGGTGTTCTTTGGCTTGCAAGCGTCCCCCTTTTTCCTCCAAACATATTGATGGTCATTATGGCCAAACAGTTCTAGTTTTGTTTCATCAGACCAGAGGATATTTCTCAAAAAAGTACGATCTTTGTCCCCATGTGCAGTTGCAAACCATAGTCTGGCTTTTTTATGGCGGTTTTGGAGCAGTGGCTTCTTCCTTGCTGAGCGGCCTTTCAGGTTATGTCGATATAGGACTCGTTTTCACTGTGGATATAGATACTTTTGTACCTGTTTCCTCCTGCATCTTCACAAGGTCCTTTGCTGTTGTTCTGGGATTCATTTGCACTTTTCGCACCAAAGTACGTTCATCTCTAGGAGACAGAACTTGTCTCCTTCCTGAGCGGTATGACGGCTGCGTGGTCCCATGGTGTTTATACTTGCGTACTATTGTTTGTACAGATGAACGTGGTACCTTCAGGCGTTTGGAAATTGCTCCCAAGGATGAACCAGACTTGTGGAGGTCTACCATTTTTTTTCTGAGGTCTTGGCTGATTTATTTTGATTTTCCCATGATGTCAAGCAAAGAGGCACTGAGTTTGAAGGTAGGCCTTGAAATACATCCACAGGTACACCTCCAATTGACTAAAATTATGTCAATTAGCTTATCAGAAGCTTCTAAAGCCATGACATATTTTTCTGGAATTTCCCAAGCTGTTTAAAGGCACAGTCAACTTAGTGTATGTAAACTTCTGACCCACTGGAATTGTGATACAGTGAATTATAAGTGAAATAATCTGTCTGTAAACAATTGTTGGAAAAATAACTTGTATCATTCACAAAGTAGATGTCCTAACCGAATTGCCAAAACTATAGTTTGTTAACAAGAAATTAGTGGAGTGGTTGAAAAACGAGTTTTAATGACTCCAACCTAAGTGCATGTACACTTCCGACTTCAACTGTATGTAGCTTCACTTGCAGAGATGAAAAGGCATAGCATCCTACTTTCAAAAAGGCACATTCACTGAATGTATGGTTTCAATGTTTTTACAATAAAACAGAACGACACCTACTCCCTGAATATTTTCTTTATTCTTTTTAAGTCAAAGTCCAAGGCATGTTAGAACATAACCAGGGGTGACAAAACAATATACAGTACATTAAACAAACTCCAACACATCTTTAGAAGCCAAAACAGCATAGTTGTATTATCAGCAGAAAGACTGCATTCATACAAGCTAGTAAAGGTTTGTAATCACCTTTAATTAAAGGTAGACTCAGCAAAACTACATTGCCACAAGCAGCACTGGAGATATTGAGATGAGTGAGATGCAACACTTCGCTCTCAGACAGTCACACACAGTATCTGAGCATGTGCACGGGTTCACTTCACTGTTCACAGCGTGGTAGCCAGGGCATCAAAACAGCTGAGAACTTGAGCCTCACGCTTCAACGCTCTTAGTTGTGAAAATTGACCCACTATGCTGTTTACTTTCTGCATCTACGTCATATCGCTGAGTCTACCTTTAAACCGAAACTAATTTCTCATCGTCTTTCATCAATTTTTCCTTAACGTACCCTAATGAAAGCCCTTTCCTGATAATTCAACAGTGAAAAAGGAAAAAACAACAGTTTTGGTGGTCACTTACAATTCAACTCTTGTTCATCTGTACAAAATCCCCCAGGTGAGGGAGAAGGCACGTTCCTTATTCATTTCATTGAACTGTACTGCTGCTGAGCTTAGCATTTGTTTTCTAAACAATGTTCATAAGTTAAATCCAGTCAATGAATTACTCCACTTCATCAGTCCCCTTCCATTCATGATTCTACCATTTTTCTTCTCACGCAAGAGTTAAGACATTTGTTTAGTTATTAATGGTGGTCCGGCATCAGCTTAGCATTTTATTCAAGTTCTTCAAATCGCCCATTGCAAAACCGGCAGTGTAAAACCAAAGCCATGTCTTGGCTACAAACTTTCTTCAATATCCAATATGACATGTATTAAATCTATTACTAATTTCCATTAGCGTTTAAGGTTTGTAGTGAACACTAAGATGAAGATTTTTGCAAATCTATCATTTTAATTTGCAAGTCTACTTCTAATAAATAATCCGAAAATGGATCTCGATAGTAGGCCAATGCTGCTATGCTAACTTTGACATTGACCCACAATGCATGACTGTTGCTTTGCCTGTAGCTACTTTAAGGTTTAAATAATGTAACAAGCTGTGTCTTTCTATATTTTGCCCCACCAACAGATATTTGGCCATACTGTGTCCTATGACAGCCATCTACTGCTCTACCGTTACCACTTCTCTTCATGGGAACTATGTAGCCCTGCACGCACAAACAAGCCCCTTGTGGCATATGACGTAGTCTCTGGACTGTACTAACACTGGCATCAACTAAACATCCTACATCCCATCCACAACCGTTCATAGAACGTTGGGCAGATAGAGGGAGCAGAGTAGCATATTCTGGCCCAGCGCGGGGAAGCGTCTGAAGGCCTCCCAGGCGTCTGAGAAGATGTTGTACTTGAGGAAGACGCGGTGCTCCAGGCTGGTGGGCAGGCTGACGTCACGCGACATTATATAGACGCCGTCGTTGTGCAGCGTGCACGTGAGGTTCAGGCCCGACTTGGAGGTGTTGTCCTTCAGGTGGAGCCACTCCCCCGTGGTCACGTTGTAAGACTGTACCGTCAGCATGTCCTCCGTCTGGCTGGCCCGCCGCCCAGGACCTGGCTCCAGCTCGTGGGTGTATCCCCCCCACCAGGTAGATGGTATCTTCCACCGAGAGCATCTGCTGCTTACGCACGTGGGCTGAGCAGGAGCGGAACACTGTCCAACTGTCAGAGTAGGGGCAATAGCGGAGCACGTTGGTATTCCTGTCTAGTAGATACAGAGAGAAACAATAACAGCATTTGTTACAATCATTTTAAAAGCAGTTGATATTTTGTCAAATGGACAAGCACTATTTGTGTAGCCTACAGTTCTTTATGTCTACTGTCTGTCTACATTGGACATTTTAGAAAAATTTCTCGCTTCTGCTGGCAATGAAAATCATCCCCCACTAACCTCTGGCAGTGTATCCTCCCATGACGTAGATCATGCCCTGGCACTCGCAGGCAGAGAACTCTGCCAGGGGGTCAGGCAGTGACGACACACAGGTCCACCAGTCCTGCTCAGGGCTGTAGCACTCCACAGTGCCCTGACACTGGCCTCCCACTGCATACAGCTTCCCTCGTACCGCCAGCAGCTTGAAGTTGGACCTGACCGGAGGAGAGACGGATATACAATAACATTACAGAACGGAGACATACTGTAGCCTATGTAGTTTGCTGGCTCAGCATCAAAGCAGTTTGAAGATCAAGACATCGGAACAGACTGGATATTCAAATCAAATCAAATTTTATTGGTCACATACACACATTTAGCAGATGTTATTGCAGGTGTAGTGAAATGCTTGTGTTCCTAGCTCCAACAGTGCAGTAGTATTGGAGCTCAAGACAGGGACAGACTGCATAGAGGTCTATTCATATAGCTGACCTGTACTGACCTCTTCTGGTTCAGGGGGGCTACCTGGTTCCATTCATTCCTACAGGGGTTGTAGCAGTGTGCAGCTGAGATCTCTTGGCTGGTCATTCTGTACCCACCGACAATGAACAGGTAGTTGTCCAACACGGCTGAGCCGTAGCCTCTCACATTGACCATGTCAGAGGGCAGGTTGTTAGCGAGCGGCTTCCAGCGTTGCTCCACTTCCCCATACCTCAGCATGGACCAGGGCTCGTCCTGGTCTGGTAGGTCCAGAGCCAGACAGGTGAAGAGTCCAATAGCCACCAGAGTGGCCGTGCCTTTCATACGCATCTCTCTAACCTGGTTGCGCAGGGCAGCAGGTAAGTCGCTGAACTCTGGTCTCCGCAGCATCGGGTGGTAGTGACAGCTCATGTATCTGAGACAAGCGTTGCGTAGATCATGAGTTCCATATACCTCAGATAGGCTGTAGAGTTCCACACAATTCTCTTGTCGAATTTCAGACGAAAGGAGTTTTAGGATAGAGGTTACTTGCAAAAAAGAAGCAGTCTCAATCAGGTCTTCCAGGGTCTCGTTGACTACTTTCACTTTGGAGGTGTTGATAAACTCCAGGACCAGCTCGAGCCCTGGCACACTCAGCCCCTGCAGTTGCACTGAATCCTCTCTGGACTCGCGCATCCCAGAGCTGTACAGTGCACGGAAGTAGTCGCTTTTTTCTATCAACTTGCTTTTGTTGACGTTGTACGTTTTGTCATCCATAACAATTACGATTATTTGTTCAGATGACATGTTTAGTGGTTGGGTTAGCTAGCTAGTGTTGTCAAGTGATCGGTTTTGTTGACTGTCCTCTTCCGGCCTCGATCTGTTAATGACGGCCTGTCACAGTTAACATTTCTCAGGCGCAGGGGTGGTCTGCAACTCCAGTCGCACCGCAGTAACCAGGCCTATATATGGTAATGTTCATCCCATACGTCTGGATGATTGCCTGGTTAATTTCAACTCAGTTATGAGTGTGCTAGATAGTTAGCAAGAGGCTAAGAGTGACTTGGAAATCTAGCTAACGTTAGCCTTTATCTTTCAAAAACAGCTGGTATTATCTCGGCATAGATCCAAAGAAGATGTTTTGCTGTGCTGTACCATGTGGCCATTTTTAAGATGTATATATTGGATAACACACTTTCCTTGCATTGTCGAGATAATCTGCAGAAAGCTGCAGTTGGTTTTTGAGGAGAAATTGGCCAGCATCTTTCATGTTTTGATCCTGTGGGTTGCGTCACTTCCTTGCTCAACCGGAAACCACCGTTTTCTTCTTCGTGTAAAGACAATGCCATGCAGATTGGTACAAAATGTATCGCTGCCACCAACTGGCACTTGCACTCGACAGGTGCTAGCTACCCGTAATACAACATGTTCCTATACTTTTCTTCACCAAATATTCAGGGAACCAGGTACATTGAAACCTTCGAGTCAGTAACCTCAGACATCTTTGTAGCAGAACACATGTCCTTGAACGGTTTAACAAAGAGGCAGTGTGTGTGTCTGTGTGAATCACAAGTCTTATCTCAGCCTACCCCCTAGCAGTTCCCCACATTAATCACAGCTTGTTATATTAAACAGTCTATATCAGTACAGCACAAACCTATTATGTTTAATCATTAATGCTTTCTTATTAAGCTAACACCACATCTAAAATATAAGATAATAATTTCCCACAATTGAAACCAACAGTTTCCAACTATCAACAACATACACTTGCAATGAAGTAAGACATTGTAGTGTATAGCCTCTGTTGGACCCGACACACAGCTCATCTACATTTTTATATTTTTAGTCATTTAGCAGACGCTCTTATCCAGAGCGACTTACAGTTAGTGAGTGCATACATTTCATACTGGCCCCCCGTGGGAAACGAACCCACAACCTGGCGTTGCAAGCGCCATGCTCTACCAACTGAGCTACACGGTGGGGCTCAGCCTGAGCCTACCCAACAGGGACATGTTTATTGGGGTATGATGTATGATACAGTATTTTACTGTTAGCATAATGGCTATATGGACAGCAGGCAAGCATGGTGCATTACTGCCACCCAGTGATGAAATATGTAACTGTTTTGCACTTCGCTGAGTAGGCCTTTTGGAGTACCAATGATAGATGTTTTAATCACAATTTAACAGTAGAGTAGTAGGAAGCTGAATCTGATACTTTTGTTTGGCATTACTATTTTGCCGCTCTCATTTTCTCTTTCTCAGGGGCATCTGTTAGTGCAACAGCAGGTTTTGGGGAGAGTTAAAACAGAGTCTTTCTGCATTCTTCACCCTTCTGCTCCATGGAAAAAACACTCATTGAGGGAGAACAAGTCTAGATAATGGCTGATAGCGCTCTACAAGAATGCGGATGGCCATGTATAGGGGCAGGCAGCTGGTGTGTGTGTGTGTGTGTCAATGTGTTGATAGGAGGGGGGATGGGTGATGACATGACACTATAGCAGAGCCCACTACTTCAGACTGGCACTAACAGCAGAATTTCCACCCCTGCAACGGGTCTACCCTATATTGGACCTATGAGCTGGACTGTCAGGTGTCCATACGTTGTAGACACTGCCCCGGAACTGTGACTTGCTGCACCTCTACAGACACTCATCTGGCACCTCCCTCCCATGTACCATATCATAGAAATTGTATTTCTATGGCATACATGTCTCCAGGGCGAAACTGCCTAAATGTATCCTGGTTAGGGTTGCAAAGAGAGGGTATATTGCTGGTAACTTTCGAAGTTTACCAGTAAACTACCAGAATTTTGGTAACTTTCAAGGATGTTGTGTCATTTATCAAAGGACATCTAGTGGCCCTTTTGGGTACTTCAGATTATCACAGGCGTCTGTAATTATATCTAGCCCTCTGTGTGGCCTTATCACATATAAAATAATAAAATAAGAGGATTTTAACCATAAACTTAGTCAATACCATTGGTCTTTATGTAAGGGTTTCAGCACGAAATATCCTTTATTATTTTTTTACACACTTTCATTTATTTTACTATGTCAGTATATCTGTGTTGTTAATGTTTTGCTGCCAAACTGGTTGCAGTTGTGAAAAAAGACAATAGTTGAAAGAGTTGCAGAGTTAATTAAAAATAATGCCTGGTATTTCCCCAGTCATTTGTATTCTACTTCTTGATGTCTCATCTTGCATGTGGCACAACTCCTCTTGAGAATCAAGGTAGGCCTACAACTGGTTTAGTGTGGTTGTTAGCTGATAAGTTAGCAGCTCAGTAACTTCCTGGTGCTTAATTTAGAGTTGGTGTGTGGTGCCAGGGTCTGCTGCTTGACCCAATGCGTGACCCATCTGTCTGCCTATTTAGCCCCCCCATTTTGACCGCCATTCACCCCATTCCATGTTATTGGGCTGCTGTAAGATTTTTTAACGTTCGCCTAATCATTTATGGAAACAAACGGTAATATATTTTAACAGTGACCACTGTTGGTAATAGGTCTATACACAGATGGTGGACCTACTAACAAAACACATTGTTCTTGCTGTCAATTATCTGTCTTAAGCCCGTGCGCTTAGCAGAGTGACGACAGCCGCGTGCCTGTGACAGGCTGATGGATCTGAGCTCAGCGTAACGGAGTGGGTGGAGAGAAGCGCGCGCATGCATAAGGACAAGGCACCATAACCAAAATCACGCACAGTCATTGCGTTTGGTCTTCATCCGAAGCCTTAAACGGACTGTCTTAAAACGAAGCGAGGATGAGGGAACAGTCGCGCGGGATCCGTTTTCTTAATTGTTTTTTATTCATCATCACCGCTCGGCAATGGGTGTCGGCGAGCAGTGACCTGCGCTCGTGCAATGAGGTAAGTGCGCGCAGCTCGACACAAGCGGCAGTGGCTGTCGCACTGTTATTTATAACACTGTTATTTCATTACAATAAATAAGCAAGCCATGACATTGCCACCAAGTGCCCTGAACGCACTATGTGTAATCATCTTATACTAGGCTATGTCCCAACCATATTAATCATGTTTATGTTACGAACGTTATCATATGGGTCAAGAATAAACATTAACCAGAGGATTATAGGCTACAACCTTCTGCCAATCATTGTTATAAAATGCCAATTGGCGTGGAATGGCGTGGAGATAGACAATGTTATGGAGGCCTTCTTTGTTAGTGGTGGGATTTAAAATGTGTTGGTCGCCTATTATTCTTATCGGCTTAAGTCCTAAGCATGTTGACAAAATATAAGGCTCCATAATATGATGACGACGCACTGAGCGGATCACTTGGCATCCATCCTCATCCATGCTGCCTCCCGTCGATGTGCGGGAGTAATATTACCGCTGAGTAAGAGGAAAACAGAGGAGGGACTGACAGTTGAACAGCAAGGGCCCTGGCACTACATTATCCGGTTACATTAATCTATTATGGCTATCATATCAGCTCTCTAAGGAAAACAGCTGCCTGGAAGCCCTCCATATCCCAGCCTTCTCCATATTATTTGATCTGAAAATGATTGAGTGCTGTCAGATTTGTGTCCCAGAGTGTGTCCCCTTACACTGCCAGATCTACACACACACTGATGGATTCATGGATGATGGATATGTCACACTGGCACTAAATATCTCTTCTTGTGGCACATAGTCAACTCTGTATCCATGGTGACCATGATGAGTCACCAGGAGACAAAGGATGCACATTAACCTCAACAGCCTTTTATCTACCTCCAATTCCACTGCACAAGCCCCATATTCACCACAGTACCAATATTTACTCATCAGCCCCTCCCCAGACTCCAGTTGCCTCAGGGGAAACAGGTGCAGGTGCACTCCACTTGAAAGGGGTTGCCATGGTGCATGGGAACTAAGGGGTTTCTATAGCTAACTTTCATCTAGCTGATATATGGCCTCACCTGTTGAGAGTTTGTTATGCATGTGTTTGCGTGCATGTGTGTGCCCATGTCCCCAAAATTTGTGTGGAAATGGCAGGAACAATACTTGTTAGAGCTTGAGAGCGATAATGATCTGTACAAAAGAGCTCAGGCTTATCTATACTCCACACACAGCCTTAAACTCTCTCTCTCTCTCTCGTTCTCTCGCTTTCTTGCTGTCTCTTTCTCTCAAACACACACACATTTGGCATTAACAGAACCACATACAGTCAGTATATACAAACACACACACACACTCACCCACTTTGGCTGCAATAATTATTTGGGTGGCAGTGAGCTGTTTGTCGGTGGTCCTGATTGATTGCCATGGCAATGCTGGGTGAACAGTAGGTTTGGGAGGATGGGGATGGAGAGCAACATGGTGGTGGAAGTGAAGTGTTGCATGACTGGCTGCATATAGATTGCTTAGAGACAAACCAACATGGCCTCCAAAACAAGATGACCATCCAGTCTCCTTATGCCTTTTCTCTGTGGGGATCCTCCCTCTCTCCCTTTCTCTCTCTTGCTCTCTCTCCCTTTCTCTCACGTTCTCTCTCTCTCTCACACACACACGTTTGGTTGTGTGGAAGAACTGGTTTTTCAGGTAGAAGTTGTAATGTCATTGACCTGACGTGACCTGTTCACAACTGGCTTACTACTTAGTAGTAAACAAACAGAAGAACAAACGCACATGGCTGAGACAAAAGATTAGCGGTAATAACACAGAGTATTAACTTAACATACAGCAGAGCAGACACCAGTCTCTGACTCTGTCATCAGAGCTGCTCAGAGACCATGATGGTGACTCTGTCATCAGAGCTGCTCAGAGACCATGATGGTGACTCTGTCATCAGAGCTGCTCAGAGACCATGATGGTGCCTCTGTCATCAGAGCTGCTCAGAGACCATGATGGTGACTCTGTCATCAGAGCTGCTCAGAGACCATGACGGTGACTCTGTCATCAGAGCTGCTCAGAGACCATGATGGTGACTCTGTCATCAGAGCTGCTCAGAGACCATGATGGTGACTCTGTCATCAGAGCTGCTCAGAGACCATGATGGTGCCTCTGTCATCAGAGCTGCTCAGAGACCATGATGGTGCCTCTGTCATCAGAGCTGCTCAGAGACCATGATGGTGCCTCTGTCATCAGAGCTGCTCAGAGACCATGATGGTGCCTTTCTGTCAGTTATAAATGGTGCTTTCTTTTCTTTCCGTCTGATTTGTTTTGCTTATCTGCCAAGCCTCACTGATGACAACCTGCGCTACCACTGGCTTTCCATAATACTTGATGTTGGCTGTTTATTATGCCTATGCAGCTTATTAGATTAATTTGGTGCATTCTGTCTTGAAAAACAACTGCATATGATGAGTGAATTGGTGTTCTGGCACATTGACAAAAAAGTGACAAGGAGATGTCACTAAAAATGATATCCTTGCAACCTGTTCTGTCACTGCAGATTTAGGAGTGTCTTAGATTATGTTTTATCAAGTGGGACATGTGTGTGTGACTGTGAATGTGTATCTAAGTGAATGTGTGTATCATGCTCTAATATGACTACTGGATGTTTGTGTATGTTCCAGACAGACTACTACTATGAGTATACAGAGTGTGACAGTACAGGGTCTCGATGGAGGGTGGCCATCCCCCACAATCTGGGCACCTGCTCAGGCCTGCCTACTCCCACCAGAGGAACAGACTGCTGTGAGTAGTGTGTGTGTGCGTGCTTTCATTCACATTTTATTTCACCTTTATTTATTCAGGTTTGCCTCATTTAGATCCTCTGTAGCTCAGCTGGTAGAGCACGGCGCTTGTAACGCCAAGGTAGTGGGTTCGATCCCCGGGACCACCCATACACAAAAAATGTATGCACGCATGACTGTAAGTCGCTTTGGATAAAAGCGTCTGCTAAATGGCATATTATTATATTAGATAAAAATCTATTTTTCTAGAAACCTGTTCAAGATAGCAGCATACGTACATGAGACAGAGAGAGACAGTATGTATACTGTCTAGGTGTGAATGTGTCTGTGACGTGTGTGTGTGACCCTCCTCTCTCCCTCTCTGTCTGTCAGTGTTCTCGTGCGCAGCGGGAGAGTTCCTAGAGATGTCTGCTCAGCAATGTACGCCATGTGCGGCCGGCTCCTATTCGCTGGGCAGTGGGGTGCGTTTCGACCAATGGGACACTATCCCTGCCGGCTTCACCAGCCTGGCCACCTACATGGACCCAGGACCCAGTGGAGAGGAGAGTCAGGCCTGTAATAGGTAAAACACACATCTGTTTTACTATCCTTTTGGGGACCAAACCGTTTATTCCCATTCAAAACCCTATTTTCCATAACCCTAACCTTAACCTCTAACCCTAACTCTAACTCCTAACCCTTAACCTAAACCATAACCCTAATTCTAACCCTAACCCTAATTGTAACCCTAAGCCTAAAATAGCCTTTTTCCCCTGTGGTGAAAATGTTTCTGGTCCCCACAAGGATAGTAAAACCCAAAACACACACACATATACTACACACACCTGTCCTACACATACAGTCACACACACAAACTCACAATAGTGCTGTATTCTCTTTCTCTCTGTGTACTGTAGCTCATTGTGGACGCCGCAGGGTGTGTATCTGGAGTCTAGTCGTGATGAGTGCACAGTGTCTCTGGTGTACGCTGTGCATCTGGAGAAGCAGGGCTCCGTCTCCTTCAGCTACCAGTACCCTGACAACAATATCTTCTTTGAGTTCTACGTGAGTCTGACTTTCTCCTCCTTGCTGAAGTTTATATCAGTTCATTTATTACCCATTTTTTTAGCTGGTTGACGTAGAGATGAAAAGTGGGCTGTTTTGCCGTAGCAGGGAAGACTTTAATTGTACATTAATATATTTTTGTACATCAATGGGTTTTACGTCAATAGATGTGGGCAAGTGAGGGCTTTTCTGTGGTGAGGAGAATCAGCTGCTGATTGGAAGCGAGAGAATCATGTGATGCAATATTCTGAGTGGTTACCATGGTGACATGTTCAGGTCCAGAATGAGCAGTGTCAGGAGATGGCCCAGACAGACGATCAGAAGTGGATCAAACTCACCACCAACGGAGAGTGGGACACACACACGGTGAGTAGGAAGGCAGTGTGTGTGATACGTGTGTGTTATATGATTGGTGTGTGTGATGTGTGTAACATAATCTGTGTGGAACATATTGTGTGACATGTGACTCAGGTGAATCTGAAGTCTGGCACTAACATACTGTACTGGAGAACGACAGGGATCCTGGTCGGAGGGAAGATGGTTAAACCAGTGCTGCTCAGGAACATCCACATTGAGGGTAAAGACCACCCGTACTGCTACTCCCTACCTTCACACTCACCTATATTCTCGCTCACATTCTGCATGCATCTGTAATGTGGTTGGTCAAGGCAGTGTAATATCGCAGTTTCTTACCCACTCCAGAACTCACCATTCTTAGCTCTAGGAAGCTCAAATGAGACCACAGTGTGAGACGACAGGCGAAACGACATCCTCATGAATTCATGTGTCTAGGTGTTGCCTACACCTCTGAGTGTTTCCCATGCCGACCAGGCTGGTTTAGCTCCGCCCCTGGCTCCTCCTCCTGCCAGCCCTGCCCCAGAAACACATCGTCTAACAAGGGAGCCACCTCCTGTACGCCCTGCCCCGACACACAGTACTCACGTATGTACTAGACACAGACACATTGAAATGTATCAGTAGAGGCCAGGTAAAATATCCACTCTCTCTTTCTCTCTTTCCCTCAGATGAGGGATGGTCGCAGTGTAAGGAGAGGCCTCCATGTTCAGAGAAGGATTACTTTCAGATCCACACAGCCTGCGACAGCGAGGGAAAGGTAAGTCAGACACATATATACTGTACATTTAGAGAGAGAAGGCTGTGGTCATATACATTAGATTATAATACATATTCTGTGTGTAGTATCTCTATGGTTGTCATGTAACTGCTGTGGTTGCCGTGGTGACAGACGCAGGTGATGTACCGGTGGGTGGAGCCGAGAATCTGTGAGGAGAATGTGACGGGCGCTGTGGCACTGCCCCCTACAGGGGAGAGAGAGGCCTGCCCGCCCTGTAACCCTGGTTTCTACAACACCAACGACTCCACCTGCTTCCCCTGCCCTCCTGGAACACACTCTGACGGCACCTCAGGTACACACACACACACACACACACACACTATATATATATTCACATGTGTATATACATAAACAGCACTCACGTGTGTATTGCTGTATATTGAAATGAAATGTGTTGTTGACGGTTGTGTGTATCTGTCCCAGTGTGTGAGGAGTGTCCTGCGGGGACAGAGCCAGTACTAGGGTATGAGTATAAATGGTGGAACGTCCTCCCTTCCAACATGAAGACTTCCTGCTTCAACGTGGGCAACTCCAAATGTGACGACATGAACGGTGAGACAGAAACATGGCTAGGGTGATTAGGGTCAAGAGATGTGTAATATGTGTTGTAATACACATGTCCATGGGTGAATAGTAAAAATGTCTAATACAGACATCCTGCTAGATATGTAATAACTCTGTGTCTCTCTGACCAATGGGAGCGTAGATGTCTGTGTAATAGATATGTGGTGTCCCTCAGTTTGTAGGGAGTAAGTCGGAAGTTTACATACACTTAGGTTGGAGTCATTAAAACTCTTTTTTCAACCACTCCACAAATTTCTTGTTAACAAACTATAGTTTTGGCAAGTCAGTTAGGACATCTACTTTGTGCGTGACACAAGTAATTTTTCCAACAATTGTTTACAGACAACGTGAATTATAATTTCACTTATAATTCACTGTATCACAATTCCAGTGGGTCAGAAGTTTACATACACTAACTTGACTGTGCCTTTAAACAGCTTGGAAAATTCCAGAAAAATATGTCATGGCTTTAGAAGCTTCTGATAGGCTAATTGACATCATTTTAGTCAATTGGAGGTGTACCTGTGGATGTATTTCAAGGCCTACCTTCAAACTCAGTGCCTCTTTGCTTGACATCATGGGAAAATCAAAAGAAATCAGCCAAGACCTCAGAAAAAAAATGGTAGACCTCCACAAGTCTGGTTCATCCTTGGGAGCAATTTCCAAACGCCTGAAGGTACCACGTTAATCTATACAAACATTAGTACGCAAGTATAAACACCATGGGACCACGCAGCCGTCATACCGCTCAGGAAGGAGACGCGTTCTGTCTCCTAGAGATGAACGTACTTTGGTGCGAAAAGTGCAAATCAATCCCAGAACAACAGCAAAGGACCCTGTGAAGATGCTGGAGGAAACAGGTACAAAAGTATCTATATTCACAGTAAAACGAGTCCTATATCGACATAACCTGAATGGCCGCTCAGCAAGGAAGAAGCCACTGCTCCAAAACCGCCATAAAAAAGCCAGACTACGGTTTGCAACTGCACATGGGGACAAAGATCATACTTTTTGGAGAAATGTCCTCTGGTCTGACGAAACAAAAATAGAACTGTTTGGCCATAATGACCATAGTTATGTTTGGCCATCACAAAGCCCTGACCTCAATCCTATAGAACATTTGTGGGCAGAACTGAAAAAGCGTGTGCGAGCAAGGAGGCCTACAAACCTTACTCAGTTACACCAGCTCTGTCAGGAGGAATGGGCCAAAATTCACCCAACTTATTGTGGGAAGCTTGTGGAAGGCTACCCGAAACGTTTGACCCAAGTTAAACAATTTAAAGGCAATGCTACCAAATACTAATTGAGTGTATGTAAACTTCTGACCCACTGGGAATGTGATGAAATAAATAAAAGCTGAAATAAATCATTCTCTCTACTATTATTCTGACAATTCACATTCTTAAAATAAAGTGGTGATCCTAACTGACCTAAGACAGGGAATTTTTACTAGGATTAAATGTCAGGAATTGTGAAAAACTGAGTCTAAATGTATTTGGCTAAGGTGTGTGTGAACTTCTGACTTCAACTGTAGATGTGTGTTTAATATAATGTACAATCACAATAATATGTTGTTGTTCAGGCTGGGAGGTGGCAGGGGATCACATCCGCAGTGGTGCTGGAGGCTCGGATAACGATTACCTCATCCTGAACCTGCATGTTCCTGGCTTCAAGTTAGTCTTGGCTTGACTGTATAATATTGTTAGGGCTCACAGGTTTTCCTGGTCAGGTCATGTGGTCAGAATGAACACATGGCTATGATTATTGTGAAGCATTGCATATATAATTTTTTATTGGCCCTGTTTGGGTGTGGTGTGTGTGTGTGTTAATTGTGTGTGTGTGTTCTGTCAGGTTACCAACATCACTTGCTGGGATGACCGGGACTGAGTTTGGCCGGATCATCTTCGTCTTCGAGACAATCTGCTCTGCCGACTGTGAGCTCTACTTCATGATGGTGTGTGCGTGTGTGTCGGACTATTCGCATCTGCACGAGTGTGTGTCTAGGATCTCAGGGAAATGTTGCTGCCAATATCAACAGTGTATTAGCCGGTAAACCAATATTACCCAACCCAACATAGCCAGTAAGACATAGCCAATACATGAGTGACCTACTTCCATACTGCTATTGGATAAATACATATCAATATCTATGTTTGTTAGTAAAGCCATATGCAGCAGAACAGGTTTCCCCAACTGGCGGCCCGCGGCACCCCCAAGTTTTCTGAGCCCAAATAAATAATACAAAATATAGTTGTTGGACGTAAAACACTGTAAAAACATCAGCAAATCAGCTACAAGTGATTTTAATTTTGGAAATCTGTTCCCAAGTATTCCGACGTATAATAGAGAGATATATGTGATCGTATACAAATGTATGCAAGGTTTGAAATGAATATGTTTTAGTCAAACATTATGCTTGGGCTTCTTGCGGTCAATTTGCATTATGTAAATGATGTGTAATTATGTTCCGGCCCTCTGACCATCCGCTCAAGAGAACATCGGCCCGCGGCTGAATCTAGTTGATAATCCCTGCAGTAGACCCAGTTAAAATAACCCATGTATCCAAATGAAACCAAAGTATATTTGAGCAAACACAGCCAATCACAGTACACAATATACACAACTAAATCACAGTAAAGCAGTGAGATTTCAGATAAACCCGTCACTGTGTAAATTGTAAACTAGTGTGATCCGCTCCCATATAAACCCTGTGTGTGTGTCGCACCCTGCAGGATGTGAACAGGAAGAGCACTATGGTGGTGGAGTCATGGGAGGGCAGTAAGGAGAGACAGTCCTACACACACATCATGACCAAGAACGCATCCGTATCATACACTTGGGCCTTCCAGAGGACCAACCAGGCTCAGGACGTGAGTACACACACACACACACACACACACACAGTGACACTGCATACACACATGCTACACACACACACTCACATACTGCACACTATATAATATATTTACGTGTGTGTATCTAGGTGCGTCGGTACATCAGCGACGTGGTGAAACTCTACTCAGTGAGCGTGACAAACGTCCAGGATGGCGTGGCATCTGCGTGCCGGGCCTGCGCCCTCCTATCTCAGAGTTCTCAGCGGTCTGGGTCGTCGTCGTGTATTCCATGCCCAGCTGGGTTCTACATTGACAGAGACACCAACCGGTGCCAGGAGTGCCCCCCCAACACATACCTGTCTGGTCACCACACATATGGCGAGGATGCGTGTCTGCCCTGTGGCCCCGGGAGTAAGAGCAGCAAGGTCATATATTACAAACACAAACACACAACTCATATAATCATACAACCATAGGTTACAACCTTACAAACTAACCTTACGTAACCATTATAATCATTAGAACCACTTTATAACATTAAATCCTCATAACCTAATCTAAAATCTCAGGGCCATACTTATATGATTTTTACTCTCATCCAGATCAACAGTTAACAGTCTCTGCTCTGGATAAGAATGTCTTTTTTAGCATGGTACTATCATGTGTGTATAATGTGAGCCACTATTTGTGCGATGTGTGTTGACTTGATGCTATTGTGCCCCCTCCTAGGAGCACTCTCGTTGCTATAGCGACTGCTCCTTCAGTCACACGGAGAACAACCGCACCCTGACCTTTGACCTGAGCTCTCTGAGCACCGTGGCCTCGCTCACCAACGGCCCCAGCTTCACCTCTAAAGGCACCAAGTATCTCCACATCTTCAACGTCAGCCTGTGTGGACACCAGGTAACTCACACACACACACATCAGCTTGTGTGGACACGAGATAACACACACATACCTCAGGGTCGTCGGTGTGTGTTCTGTTTCAGGGGAAGATGGCAGCTGTCTGCACAGATAATGTCACCGATCTCGCCAATAAGGACATGGGGAGTGATTCCACCCAGTTCGTCAACTCAGTGGACAGCTTCATCTGTCAATCAACCATCATTCCTGCGGATGGGCGGGGCTTCAGGACAGCTCTGGCATCCCAGTCTATCAGTCTGGCTGATACCTTCCTCGGTGAGATGGCAATAGAATAGTGCCTTAATTACTGTAATAATGATTATTGGACAGTGCCACAACCACAAGTAGTTATATAGGCAAAGCACAAAGTATACTCTTGATACAAAAACAGATTTATTTTCAACTATTTCATTTGAAAGTTGTTTTCTCTTTCTCTTTGCATGTGTGTATGTAATCTCTCTCTCAGGAGCGACAATGGACAGTGTTTTAGACGGAATAAACACCAGACCAGAACTCTTCTCTGACAACTCAAAAGGCATTCCTGACATCAACTTCTTCTACAGGTAGGCCAGTGTAGAGCTAAATGCCATTGAACAGTATTCATAGTTTAATGGTTCCAGTGAAGACCAGTCAGTGTGGTTGAAAGTGTGTGTGTGTGTGTTCGACCATGCTCTCTCTTTCTCAGGTCTACTCAGGCGACTGGATCCTGTGAGCGTGGTCGGAGTGCGGTCATGACGATACGCTGCAACCCAGAGAAGACCGACCGCGGGCAACTCACAGTTCCCAGGTACACACACCTGTCTGACTGTCTGCTCAACATCACCTGTCTGACTGTCTGCTCAACATCACCTGTCTGACTGTCTGCTCAACATCACCTGTCTGACTGTCTGCTCAACATCACCTGTCTGACTGTCTGCTCAACATCACCTGTCTGACTGTCTGCTCAACATCACCTGTCTGACTGTCTGCTCAACATCACCTGTCTGACTGTCTGCTCAACATCACCTGTCTGACTATCTGCTCAACATCACCTGTCTGACTATCTGCTCAACATCACCTGTCTGACTGTCTGCTCAACATTTGAGCTGAAAACATTTCTGTATTATTTGTGTGTGAATTTTCATTAGCTCCTTCTACATTTCTCCTGTGTATGTTTGTGTGTGTGTGTGTGTTTGTTTGTGTGTGTGTGCTTGCAGTGCATGCCCTGCAGGTACGTGTGACGGCTGTACGTTTCACTTCCTGTGGGAGAGTGGGAGCGCCTGTCCCCGTTGCACCCAGGACGACTATCACCAGATAGAGGGAGCCTGTAAGGGAGGGGTCCAGGTAACCTACACACCCTCTGTTCCCTCTCTCTTCCTCTCCTTTAACACACTCATGCTACTCTTACTTTCACCTCTTGGCATTTCAATTGAACCTACTTTCTCTTCTTCTCTACTCTCTCTCCATCACTTCCTCCCTCCTTCCCTCTCACCTTCTTTCTCTCTTTCTCTCTGTAGGAGACTCTGTCTGTGTGGAATGAGCCAAAGCTGTGCACCAAAGGCATGTCCCTGCCAGCTAAGAGCTCCGCCCCCTGCGAGGCCATCGCCCTATGGCTAAAGGTGGGGGTAGGGGGCGGGGCCTTCTTAGCTGTGCTGCTCATCTCTCTCACCTGCTATTTCTGGAAGAAGAACAAGAGGTGATTGACTGACACCTGTTAATCAAATAACCATCCTAGCCATAGGATGTAGTACAACGCTCCTGACTCCTGCATCTCTGTGTCCTGTGTGTTTCTGTGTCGCTATGGCGCCCCTGTCAGGCTGGAGTATAAGTACTCTCGGCTGGTGATGTCAGCCAATAAGGAGTGTGAGCTGCCGGCGGCAGATAGCTGTGCCCTGGCCGAGGGGGAAGAGCCTGAGGATGACGTGGTCTACTCCCACAAACCCTCACTGCTCGGCAAGCTCAGGGCCATCGCCAACAAGGTACCTGTGTGTGTGTGTGTGTGTGTGTGTGTGTGTGTGTGTGTGTGTGTGTGTGTGTGTGTGTGTGTGTGTGTGTGTGTGTGTGTGTGTGTGTGTGTATTAACCCTGTGTGTATCTCTATCCTTCAGCAGAGGGCGGAAGACAGCAGTGAGTCGGTACAGCTGAAGTCATCCCAGTCTGAGAGATGGGTCTGGGGGTAACGACAAGAAAGAAGAGAGAGAAAGGGAAAGAAAGAAGAGAGAGAGAGAAAGAAAGAAGAAGAGAGAGTTGGTAGGGTTGGCACTGAGTTCCACTCCTCTTCATGTCTCCTGGGCTCTGCTTATTCCTGAGGACTCCATCGTGGCTCCAGCCGCTCCAGTATCCTCTGTAAAGGCACCTGTTCCCATGATTCTGACTGAAACTGGAAAGTGGTTTGGCTCCCAACCCTAGACCCTACCACACACACAACCCTGCTTATTGCCATGGATATTGAAGGGCTGCAAATTTAAGAAACAGTCACTGTTTTTGTATATTTTGTATTGTCATTTGGAGTTTATCTGTACAGTCATGTCCAAAGTATTTATAATGATTAATGTTGTTATGATTTATCTTTATTAAATTCTCACTTGGCTTTGGGGCCGTGTTTGTATTTGTGTGCAGTTCTGTTATGCTAGGCTACACATTATTATTATTATTATTATTATTATTTATACAACAGTAGTTAATGGGGCCTGGAATACTCCTGAGAATACCCTGTCTTGCAGATTTAGAGCAGTTTGCTCACATCTCAAATGTACCATGAAAGAAAAAAGACAACAAACACACACAAATAAAATCATTATTTCACAGGAAGTCCCATACTCTCGTTGCAGTTCAATTGGTTAAGGTAAGTCCTCCCCGCATCTGTCACGCCTCCAGGCCAGTTTCCGCTCTCCTGAGAGAAAACACTCCGCCTGCGAGTCATCGACGACCGCAGGAAAGTTTAAATATAGCCTACAAAAAGAATACAAACGGATTTGTTCACTTTTGCGTTATCGCTGATTCTACGCTGGAAACCCGGATAGAGGTCGGTCGCAGTAGTCAGGAGATGGCTGAAATGAGGATGAGCTGAACTCGAGCTGGTACAGTTACGGTACGGAATCATCTCGTTGGTATGGATACTTCGGCCATGCTGTTTAGGATAAATCTAAAATCATCCCAGCAGTCTGGGCATCAATCTAGTCTGCGTACTTTTCTGAAACTTTTATGAGAATATATGCTTGTAAATTATGTTAGATTTACGCACGACCAAAGTTATCTGTTAACAACGTCAACGAATTAAATCAGAAGTGTGGCCAAAACCATTGGACCTGGCTGCTAAACAATTGCATTTTCTTTGAACAGAATTTACATCATAACACTACCAGAATCATACACTAACATAACACAATGCTTCTTTCTCGTTCCTCACCAATTGTCACTTCCTGTGGTGGCGATGTAGAAAAAAAGATTAAGGGGGAGTGCAATCTGTGATTTATTATTCTGTTTTTGGCCTAAAAGTGATGGTAGATTTCTCTCTCTCTCTATGTGCGTGTGTGTGTGTGTCTCAGAGCCCACCACATTGTTATTGGCTCGGTAAAGAATTTCCAGAAGAACAGAACTACTACTACATAGAACAACAGTAGGCCTACATGAAAGAGTTGTGTGTGTACTTTGTTTTACAGGTCCCTCCGCTGAAGGCTCGACGGCACCATCTAATTCCTTATCTAAGTGGTAAAATTATTCCGAGAGAGAGAAATTACATTCAATCATTCTGAATTATGAGAGCAGTTTACCTGTTCAAATAGTATCAATTGTCATGCCTCAACACAACCACAAGAGGGCAACACTTTCCCAGGAAATAAGTGACTGAATTAAAAAAATTGTTCATTATGTTCTTTCGTTTTTCAAATGCATTCTCTGTTATTTCTCCAGGGCTATCTGGAGGTTTTGGCTTTGTGCTCGTATATACGACATTCCCAAACACTTTTATATCATTGTGCAAACGCTGTCCTCTTGTGGTTCCGTTGAGGAATTACAGCGGAGTATATTTTCACAAGTAAATGTCAAACAAATGGATAGGAGCTCATAATCTTTGTGTCAATTGTACACTCACCTGGGAAAATGTAGGCCCTACTCTGTTGTAATCCCTCAAGAGATCAACCATGTGTTTTTTTTACAGGGATGAGCTAAAAAACATGAAGTTTAATAGATGGGTTAGCTGACAATGTCACGAAAACAATGTGCACGCTTCTATGGGGGGCAGAAGTCAGTGTGTTGTTGTGATTCTGGATGGCCAGATTGCTAGCAAGAATGACAAGTGCCATGTGGGGAATCGTAAGTGGCTAGTTTTAATTGTGTTCTTGATACCATGTCTTGTTTTGACTGATTTGATGTCAATGATAATATGGCCCAAATTCGCAAGCTAACCAACAACTTTACCGATGTATTTGAGCGACAACAAGTGCTCATTGTGTACATGTATTTATGTTTTAAATAAACACTGAAGACGAAATACAGTTGACATGTTGTCAACATTTTAAAGCCAACCCCGTGTGTTTTGCCCTACAGTTGTGCAAGCGTTGGTTTTGTTGTTAAACAACCAACCCTTCTATACCTGCGAGTTTAGATTTGTTTACTTTGCTAACGCTGCACTGGTGGTTTCTTGAGGAATTACAACTGTGTTTCGCAAGTGAGGTGAGTGCAGTATTACTATTTACTAGTACCTGTGGAAATACACTACGTTGTTACTCCTAAAAGGAAACAAGTTAGAGCAGTGTTTGAAGTAATCAAGATTTTCAGTCACATTTGAATTGTAGTCGATTGCTGATAATTTGCAAGGCAGAAACGTGCAAGTTCTTCACAAAACTTGTCATAAATTACTTTGCCCTCTTGTGGTTGTTTGAGGTTTCTACAGTTTAACATATATAAACACTGCCCTTTTATTTGCAGATCGTCACAGCTTCACCATGGCTCGCGGCTGCCTCTGCTGTGTCAAATACATGCTGTTCCTCTTCAACCTGCTCTTCTGGGTGGGTGAACAAACTCACTATAGACATAATCATTTTCAAACAAATGGATCTTCTGATTCTGCATTCTATTTTATTATTAAATCATACTATACTAACGGTATAATAATGATAAGAGTAATGACAAACATTTACAGTGGGGGAAAAAAGTATTTAGTCAGCCACCAATTGTGCAAGTTCTCCCACTTAAAAAGATGAGAGAGGCCTGTAATTTTCATCATAGGTACACGTCAACTATGACAGACAAAATGAGAAAAAAAATCCAGAAAATCACATTGTAGGATTTTTTATGAATTTATTTGCAAATTATGGTGGAAAATAAGTATTTGGTCAATAACAAAAGTTTCTCAATACTTTGTTATATACCCTTTGTTGGCAATGACACAGGTCAAACGTTTTCTGTAAGTCTTCACAAGGTTTTCACACACTGTTGCTGGTATTTTGGCCCATTCCTCCATGCAGATCTCCTCTAGAGCAGTGATGTTTTGGGGCTGTCGCTGGGCAACACAGACTTTCAACTCCCTCCAAAGATTTTCTATGGGGTTGAGATCTGGAGACTGGCTAGGCCACTCCAGGACCTTGAAATGCTTCTTACGAAGCCACTCCTTCGTTGCCCGGGCGGTGTGTTTGGGATCATTGTCATGCTGAAAGACCCAGCCACGTTTCATCTTCAATGCCCTTGCTGATGGAAGGAGGTTTTCACTCAAAATCTCACGATACATGGCCCCATTCATTCTTTCCTTTACACGGATCAGTCGTCCTGGTCCCTTTGCAGAAAAACAGCCCCAAAGCATGATGTTTACACCCCCATGCTTCACAGTAGGTATGGTGTTCTTTGGATGCAACTCAGCATTCTTTGTCCTCCAAACACGACAAGTTGAGTTTTTACTAAAAAGTTATATTTTGGTGTCATCTGACCATATGACATTCTCCCAATCCTCTTCTGGATCATCCAAATGCACTCTAGCAAACTTCAGACGGGCCTGGACATGTACTGGCTTAAGCAGGGGGACACGTCTGGCACTGTAGGATTTGAGTCCCTGGCGGCGTAGTGTGTTACTGATGGTAGGCTTTGTTACTTTGGTCCCAGCTCTCTGCAGGTAATTCACTAGGTCCCCCCGTGTTGTTCTGGGATTTTTGCTCACCGTTCTTGTGATCATTTTGACCCCACGGGGTGAGATCTTGCGTGGAGCCCCAGATCGAGGGAGATTATCAGTGGTCTTGTATGTCTTCCATTTCCTAATAATTGCTCCCACAGTTGATTTCTTCAAACCAAGCTGCTTACCTATTGCAGATTCAGTCTTCCCAGCCTGGTGCAGGTCTACAATTTTGTTTCTGGTGTCCTTTGACAGCTCTTTGGTCTTGGCCATAGTGGAGTTTGGAGTGTGACTGTTTGATGTTGTGGACAGGTGTCTTTTATACTGATAACAAGTTCAAATAGGTGCCATTAATACAGGTAACGAGTGGAGGACAGAGGAGCCTCTTAAAGAAGAAGTTACAGGTCTGTGAGAGCCAGAAATCTTACTTGTTTGTAGGTGACCAAATACTTATTTTCCACCATAATTTGCAAATAAATTCATAAAAAAATCCTACAATGTGATTTTCTGGATTTTTTTCCCTCAATTTGTCTGTCATAGTTGACGTGTACCTATGATGAAATTACAGGCCTCTCTCACTTTTTAAGTGGGAGAACTTGCACAATTGGTGGCTGACTAAATACTTTTTTTCCCCACTGTATATTTTATTCTGCCTCTTTCAGTTGGGGGGCTGTGGTTTGTTGGGTGTGGGGGTGTGGTTGCCTGTGTCTCAGGGCAGCTTTGCCACCCTATCACCATCCTTCCCCTCCATCTCTGCCGCCAACCTCATCAACCCTGGGTGCTGTCATCATGGTTACAGGCTTCCTGGGTTGCCTGGGTGCCATCAAGGAGAACAAGTGTCTGTTGCTGAGTGTGAGTGAACTACACTACTCATGATGCACCACACTACATTGCTTGCCACATTGGCAACCTCACCTGCCTCTCTCAATTGTTCCCTGTAGTTTTTCATCACGTTGTTGGTTATTCTGTTGGCGGAGCTGATCCTTCTCATCCTGTTCTTCGTATACACAGACAAGGTAAGACTTCCCTAGAAGCCACCCATCAATTCAAACCCTGTTTATCCTTCCTCCTATGGTTCTTGTTCCCATAGTGCTCTGTGTGCCTCTGCCTACATTTCTCATGATCCACTGTGTGTGCAGGTGAGTGAGAACGCCAGACAGGACCTGAAAGAGGGACTTGCTCTGTACAGCACCGACAACAACGCTGGCCTCCGCAACGCCTGGAACACCATACAGACAGAGGTATGGTACCTAACTACTAATGAGCTACCATACAACCCCACACTAATAACATAGCATTCCATCAAGGGAGAGGTGCAATATATAACCCTGTCTCCTCTTTCTCCCTGTCAGTGGCATTGTTGTGGGGTGAATGGGTACATAGACTGGCACACTGCCCTGCAGGAGAAGGTGGTTCCTGACCGATGCTGCCAGGATATCTACCAGGACTGTGGGCGCAATGCCACCAACCAGTTCTGGACACAGGTCAGTTTGTGTTAGTTTAAAAATGTGTGTCTGATCTCTCCCTTCCATCAGGCAGTGTGTGTATCCATGTGTGTCTGCATGTGTAGGAGTGTCCTTTTTCACCTCTCAAGATTGTTTCTCTCTTGTCAGGGTTGCTATGAGAAGGTGGAGGAGTGGCTGGATGACAATAAACACCTGCTGGGAACCATCGCCATGTGTGTTCTGGTCATACAGGTAAGGGGTGTGTGTACATACAGGAAGACATCCAGATGTATATGTAATGATGTTGTTGCAGTGTGACTGATGTGACCTTCTGTCTGCAGCTCCTGGGTATGGCCTTCTCCATGACTTTGTACCAGCAGATCCACCGATCCGGGAAGAAGTACGAAGCTTAAAACACACACACACACACAGGGTTTGAGACCTATTACTTTTATACAAAATTATACTCTAAAAGGAGACACGCATGTCACAAAACAGCTTTTTATTTAGTGTTTATATTTACACACCCTTGTATCATTTTGTGCACAAAGGCAATTATGTTTTTTTAATGATCATCTTTACTATTAATAATCAGTGTTCTTGGCCGGGATTCAATCTGACCGCGGGTTGTCGACAACGTGTGAGATCTCATGCACAGTAATTGGGTCATACCATAAATAAAGTGCAAAAAATAAATAAAAAATCAGCATTTTGACATTGTCCTTAGTTATGTTTTTCTGACTTCTAGGAAGATTTTAACCAACTTCACCCCCAAATTCCTCCATGTTTTCACCATCATTGAAATTATACTCAAAAGTTGAACTAATTATGTTATTGCTTTGACGTCATTTCTGAAGATTATTTATTTCATGCGATTAATTTGTCTGTCCCTCATTTTAAGGCCAACCCTGTTACGTGAACATAACTTTTTTTTTATATGGTGAAACTATTCCTTTAAAAATATTTTTCAAAACAAACAGTCAAATCATAGTGTAAAAGCAGGTGAGCTGGTTCTACTCTTTTTGGCCATTTTCTGGTGTTTTGTGGTGGAAAACTGACCGTGTCGAGTATAATACTTCATCCCTGTTACCCATTGATAGATTGGCTGGAAATGTTAACAATTTCAATTGTTTTGTGAAGCTTGCATTCATTTGCCCCTCCCTGTTGCGCACAACAAGCGTCCATTCCCCCTGTCACAAGGGGATTTATGGCTGATTTAAAATAACCTCAACCCTGTTACTTTAAAGACACTATTGGCACTTTTTTTTTTTACCGCTTAATGTGACACCGCTTATGTGAAATTGTTTGTTTTGACCAATTTACACTACCCAAAATGTTATCATTTTGTGGAACGACCCAAATGCAGCATATAGCGCAATCGGAAATACCCTTTAAAAGCTGCGTTGTCGACAACCCGCAGTCGGATTGAATCCCGGCTCTAGTTCAGTTATGGGGGACTAAGGGTGGGTGAGGAAAGGGGGGTTGGATTGTGTGGCTGTGTGTGTGGGAGTAGACACCCCTCAGTCATCCAGAATAGAATGGCTTGAACACAAAAGAGTAAAGGGAACAAGAGGTTCGATTCCATGCCTTAGAAATCCTTAAAACAGACTGAAGTTATATATATTGTATGGATTTATTCTTGTAAAACCAGTGTTACTGAGATGTGTTCAATAAAAGTTAAGCTTATTCTGTCAAATTGCTGGCAGTTTTTTCAAATTCTGTTTACTAAAGCATCATCTTCAGGTGAGCCCCAGGAGAAACATGCCAATGCCACCTCATGATTCTGAGGTTGTATGTTCAAGAGAATGTGCAAGAGGTTGTGGCTCAATCGTTAGAACCCCTGTCTCATAACCTTGAGTTTGCAGGTTTAAACCTCAACTCTTACACTTGTGTGGATTTCTGCAACTCTTAATGTCAAACAAAGAAAAGTGTGAAGGAGTCTGGCTCAGGGGTTAAATCTCCACCTTGCACCACTGCAGTTGTGAGTTCAAACCTTAACTCTTACACTTCAGTCAAGATCTGCAACTCAATATCAAATAATTATACCATGGCATTATTGAATACTCATTTCTGATTGGCTTGAAAGGCATTCTAGAGCGTGCATTATTTCCCTATAACACACGGTATATTTGCATTTTAGAGTTCAATGGCTATAAATATACACACATGTTATATGTTTGAGGGGGAAAAAAGGGCAAATTGAAAAAATTATTGCCATTGTTGAATTCGATTTTCATAATAGCAAGCTAGGACTGATGGTTTGGTTAGCTAAACCAGCAAATATGTTTGTTTGGTTACCAAGGCAACTACTGTCGCTAACTACAAAACTTGCTAGCTACTTCCACGGCTGTTGAACACATTTCTAGCGACAAATGTGTTAAATTATAGCCATGGTATAAAAGGGATAATCAACTCGGGGCTCTATGCGTTCTCTGGAAAATAATGCAACTCTGTGGAAGGTCAGTTCCACTCCGCTAGCGCCTCGTGGAACATAACTTCCACGTCGTTCATTATTTTCCATAGAACGCATAGCCTCTTATTGATTATCCCTTACACAAAGAGAAGAGGGAGAAATGTGAAGCAGTCAGTGGCTCAGTACTTAAATCCCTGCCTCCTACCAAGACGTTATGGGTTCAAACCTCATCTCGTGCTTTTATGTACGTTTCAACAATTCTCCATGTCAAACATAGAGGGGAGTGTGAAGGAGTCTGTGGCTCAGGCGTAAGGATCTTGCTCTGGCTCATGGTTGCCTACTTGGGACTCTGCTAGTCAGTGAGTCAAGGGCAGTGGCGCAATAAGCAGGGGTGGTTAAAACCTGGGGTGCCCTGCGACTTCAGAGCAGTGGTTATGGAGAACATTTCCCGAAAAGAGTGGACACTTCATTTTTAACTATAGGCAACTCTCCATTTAAATACTAAGTGTCCACTTTTTTTCTGGAGATTTTTCTCCATAACCATCTTTGAGTGGCAACACCATTCACGCAACCATGCTCCAGTGCCGCACGGGGCTGGAACCAAGGATCCTATGGTTGGAGGGCGAGATCCTTACCACTGAGCCACCAATTCCTTCACACTATCCGCACATCGCTTCATATATTTGACATAAACATGTCTGTAAACAAAAAAATGCACAAGCGTTCAACTTGGCGGTCTCCCATGTCTACCCCACCCCAATGGTTAAACAAACTACAATGATTCCCAGTCCTCAAAACCTACAAAGGTTATAAAAGCAGTCTCTGCTTTCTCTGACCCTCAGACACTGAGCACAGTCCCTTTGCAACACTACTGGTATCCTTGATCAGTTGAGTTGGCAGATAGAACAGCTGTATGGGACTACAGGCTGAGCTTCCTCACTAATGATTCAATAACTACTGAAATGATTCACTCACCTCGCCTGTGTTAGCTTTCCTAACTCTCCTACAACCTCAGAGAGAGACAAGAAGGGGAGGGGTGTAGAGCTGAAGGGCGAAAGATTAACAGAGCATGAAAGAGAGGAACCAAGGGTCAGAAGGTCTCCAACCTAAATTGGGGCAAATAGATGACAGAGCAAGAATGGAGACTTTTGTTTATGGTAAGAAAAAGGCACAACATTTAATCACGTTCTTTTTAACCAACACTTCCTGGATATTAACCCTACCCAACTCTACAGTCATTTGGAGATTGCAGAAACAATGGTTCAAAGCCCATACTCAAATGTTACCACATGGTTTAAAGCACATACTCACATACCCCACTGACCAAGACATAGAATATCAGGTTAATATTAACTGTCCATTTACAAATCCTTGACTGTGAGCTGTGTCCATTTATAGACACACACAGCCCTGTCCAAAGGCCACAGGGCCGTGTGTGACTATGCCTGGGGGAAGAACGTCAGTTATCCAAACCCAATTTTGGAGTTAGAAGTCCATGGTTTTGTCGTTGTTATAGACGACGTTGCCCCTGATGACAACGTAGCGAATCAGTTCCTGGTGTCCTCCTAACTGGTAGATGAGATGCTCCCACCTGCCGGACAACACCATCAACACAACACTGTCAGTCCACACACACACACATCTACACTAAAGTGTCAGCCACACTCACACAATCAACACAACCTTAGGCAGTCTCACTCACACAATCAACACAACCTTAGGCAGTCTCACTCACACAACCCAATCGATTCCATTCACACAGCTACTGCATTTTAGACAATGCCATACACAGTCCTCACCACAATTACAAGATAAGTAATCTAGCTGCTGAAAGGTTAACTGTCAACTGGAACATACACTGTGGTGTCTAACCATTAAATGAAGCCAGCTCTTAGAATATAGTAGTATTCATTGACAGCAACTTTACCGTGGTGCGTTGAGGACCAGCAGGTCGGCGTGTTTGTTGACCTCCAGGGAGCCGTGCGTGTGAGAGCATCCCAGGGCGTAGGCTGCGTTGATGGTGGCGGCGGCCAGAGCCTCGGGCATGGACATCCTCATGTTGACACACGCCAGGTGCATCACCACCGGCTGGGATAGACAGACAGGGATCAAGAGATGATGACAGAGGGATCGCTACAGAGGCTTTTTGCCTTCTATTCCCACTAACTCATTGACCTTACCCCCACAGCCCCCTCCATCTTTCCCTCCCTAACTTCCCTACTCCTACCACCTCCAATCACCCACCATAGAGCAACAGTAGGCATTAGGGTTGAAGTCACTGCCCAGGGCAACAATGACCCCAGCATCCAGCATGTCTCGGGCCCGCGGCTGGGGTAACCGCAGGATGTAGGCAGTGGTTGGGAGCAGGACGGCAGCGGTCTTAGCTGTCGCCATGGCAGCGATGCCCTCATCTGTCACCTCCTCCAGGTGACTGATAGCCAAGGCACCGAGCTCTGCCCCCAGCTAGCACCACCAGAGAAAAACACACACACACACAATACAGGAATGGTTAAGTGAGATGGACAGTACCATAGACACTTAAATAATACGTACTGGTACTAAACCAGCTGTTGTTACCACAGTGACAGTAGAGAGGCGCAGGTTGATGATGCGTACCTGTGCAGAGTTCATGGGGTGCAGCTCGTCTCCGTGGAAGTTGATGTTGAGGCCCATGTCCAGGCCGGCCTGCAGGATGGAGCATGTGGAGGCCAGGTCAAACACACCCTGCTCACAGAACACATCTATGTTGTCCACCCTCAGGGCCCCAAGCTGACATACGCTCACGCAGCTGTGGCAACTGGACCTGAAGGATGTCTGTTGTCGCCTCGGCAACAGTCTTACCCCTGGGAAAGAATCAGAAGGGGTGGGTATTTAATAACACCTAGTGAGGATGAAAGTCAGTAGGGTTAGCTGTACGGGTGAATGTAACACAGTGGTCATGACGGGGTGGATGTGAGGTGGGTCTGTTCAGGAGTATGGGGGGGTGTGTTCAACAGCATGGTGTAGAGTGTGTGTGTTCAGTACTTAGGGACTGCGTGTGCTCCACAGTAGGTAGACGATATATTGATTGGCAGGGTACGTCTGGCCGTCTCGATGACCTCCAGCATCTTCAGCTCTGTCTGCAGCTCCAGGCCGTAGCCACTCTTACACTCCACCAGGGTGGTGCCTGCCCGCTGCATCCGACCCAGCCTGCCTGTCAGAGAGGCCAGCAGGGTGGAGGCAAGAGCAGCCCGGGTGTGCTCCACTGTGAAGTGGATCCCTCCTCCGGCACGGTGCACATCCATGTAGGTGGCACCGGCCAACTGTAGGCACACACAGCATTACCTAGGCTGCATTTTGACAGGCAGCCCAATTCTGATATTTTTTCACTAATTGGTCTTTTGAACAATCAATCAGATCAGCTCTGAAAAATAGCTTGTGTGAAACGATCTGATGTGATTGGTCAAAAGACCAATTAGTGGAAAAAATATCAGAATTGGGCTGCTTGTGTAAACGAAGCCCTACAAACCTTTACTTTTACTCCAAAAGGTGAGTCAGATTACAATCTGTTGAGGCAGAGAGGGGATGGGACCCATGGAAGTCATATTTACCTTCATGGCAAATTCATGCACCCTGTCTCCAGCCCATACGGGGTGGGTGTGTGCATCAACCAATCCTGAAACACAATAATCAATGAGCACAGCTGTATTTCTGTAAAACCTCATTCTCTACATGCTAGAACACTATATCAATGTTTCAAATATTTGTATCAATAGAACAGGGGAGCATTCGGCAGGACCTAACGTTTTGGAACGTTCAAATAAAAATATGCTTTGTAGACCAAACATGGCTCTGTGACACACAGGAGGCTGCTGAGTGGAGAACGGCTCATAATAAATGGCCAGAACAGAGCAAATGGAATGGCATCGAACACCTGGAAACCATGGGCGGCAGGTAGCTTAGTGGGTAAGAGCGTTGTGCCAGTAACCGAAAGGTCGCTGGTTCTAATCCCCGAGCCGACTAGGTGAAAAATCTGTCGATGTGCCCTTGAGCAAGGCACTTAACCCTAATTGCTCCTGTAAGTCGCTCTGGATAAGAGCGTCTGCTAAATGACTAAAAATGTAAAATCATGTGTTTGATACCATTCCACTGATTCCGCTCCAGCCATTACCACAAGCCCGTTCTCCCCAATTAATGTGCCACCAACCTCCTGTGCTCTGACATGTAGAATAATGTCTGCCCTATTCATGGCATTTCTATCTGCACCGTTTGACAAATAAACGTGGCCAAGGTTGCATGTTTACATGGTCCTTGCTATCCGGGATCCTTGGGACGTCCCTTCCCCATTGAAGTTGACATTTTAAAATGGTACGGGTTAAGTTTAGGAAAGGGTTAGGGTTAAGGATCCCAGATAGCACAACCATGTTTACACCTGTGTGCCTAGATCTACCGCCCCCTATTGTCCAGGGTGGTGTATTGCACTGATACTTGCCTGGAATGACACACATGCCAGTTGCATCGATGACTTTATCAAACGAGACCCCTGCATATTGGAAATCAATGGTGCTCGCTGGTCCAATATCCTTTATCAGACCGTCGCTGGACGAAAAAAAAACACAGCTCTTGTAATCAATAGTTTGCGATGGAATAACATTTGGTTTAGTTTAGCCAAAATTAAGTTTTGCTTTCACATAACTTTCAGAGCACGTTGGGGCAATCCGTACGCTGCGAAGTTTGACAGCCGCTGTCAACTCGTTCTAACCAAATTGTAACAAACATTAACTAGTAGCCAAACTATCGAACATTAAACAATGTTGCAAACTGCAGCCCAATCGGACATTAATGATACAATGAATCAATTTACCTCCCGATAACCAAACTACTGTTCTCAATCACACACAGCCTTTGCATCCCATCCTTCGTCAGGAACTTCTCACCGTTGTTGCAAATTAAAACCACCTGTTTCGCGTTCTTTACCAAAAGTTTGTTGGACATTTTGAAATAGTCGTCGAAATTAAGCTTAAAAATGTGAAGTATTTTTGTAAGTCACCTCTATTTCTACGTTGCCTCGCTGTCACTTTCTAGTGGTTTGGGGAAAAGTAAATATTTGAGGGCAGCATGGGTTCAAAGTGCACGAGCCAAGTCCGGGGCTGGGCTTTGGAAATTAGGAATACTGTACATTGATTGACAGGTTCTGTTTAATGTGTAGTGTTTGTTAATAAGGTTGAGACACCACATCAATCAGCTCCCTCACAAACCTGTAATAATACCACCAGACAGCAGGTTTAGGAAAGGGTAAAATAACCATTATTTTATTTATTTTTCTACAGTGATATAATGTAATTAGCTACATCATATTGGATCATAAACAGTAAAAAAAAAAAATGTTTCCTTGAAAGTTTCACACAAATAAAGCTAACTTGCTTCCCAAGAGTCCATTTTCCACATAGTGAAAATGCAAAAACAAAGATTCAAACACAACACTCATCCAGATCTTCAGTTGCAAGTCTCATCCTCTCCATCATTCTTTCATTTCTCCGTCCTCCTCTTCTTCCTCTACTCCTCTAATATATAAAACATTATTGCACCTGTGGGTAGAGAATATGCACTTTAGATCTAAGAAAATTACACTGAGAACAGCCACCATGAAACACCTGCATCAGTCACACCATAAGTATGCTGGACACAGAAGTCCAGGGAGAATACATTTCTACTGGTATTCATGAAAGGGTTGACTTGCAGTTCCAACCCCCCAAAAAAATCTGAATATAGACTTGCATTCTATTGCATAAAACATCTGATTTCAACAAGAAAAACGTTCTTCCTTCCCTCCTCCCTTTCTTGAACTGGGTATTATTTACTACGAAACAAACGAGCCGAGATGGGACTTTGAGGGACCTACCTGAACTTGTCCAATAAGAAACTCTTGTTTTTGTTGCAAAACGCTTTTTGTTGCAACAGTCTACACTAATGAATACACCCCAGGTCACTGCTCTAACAGAGTTAGGTATTTCATAAATGCAGTCATGGCCGATCTTGATCACCTCAGAATTAAAGGACAAGAGGCAGAAGGCAACATTTTAGACAATCCAGAAAACGGCTCTTATTTACCTAACAAGTACTTCTCCAAGGTGACCAGCCAACGCTCCATCCACGTACTCTTCTGTGTTCGCCAACTGTCAAAACCAATGACAAAAACACGAGAAATGTACATAGGCATTAATCTGCACCAGCCACACACACTGTCCAGGTTAGGTGCAAAATATAAATTCTGCACATGAGTCATATGTGGACAAAAAAATGAATAACTTGTGGGGGACTTTTATTTTGACATGAGGTAAGCAGAGAGGAAGTGGGTCTAGAACAGACCCACTTTTGGAAAGTCTTTAATAATACCATCCCATAGATATTTTGTTTCAAATTCCCCCGTCATAATGATCAACTGTCCTGCCCACCGGCACAGTAAGCTGAAATGGAATGGTCTTTAACTTCTGGCTTCCTACTGACTTTTTTTTTTACAACCCAATACAGTTGAAAGCAACGCTAGTGTATGTAAATACACCCGCGTTGCTAAAAGCACCTATGTCCAGGTGTGCTCCCTCACCTGCATGTTCATGTAGCTGTCCACAGACACTAGGTAGCCCTTGTACTCCATCCCCCACTTCAGCTTCACCATCACCGGCTTGCCTGTCAGTCCGTTCAGGAAGGGCTTGGGGTTCAGAGGTAAACTCTACACACACAGCAACGGGAAGAAGGTTGGATTATTGTTATGGGTAATCATTTAACCTCTACGGGATCGGTGTCCCGTATACGGGACGGTTGAGCTAATATGTGCTAATGTGATTAGCATGACTGTTTTAAGTAACAGCAATGTACTTACATTCAGTAATCTTGCTCTGATTTGTCATCCTAAGGGTTTCAGAGATAAAATGTAGCATAGTTTTGTTTGATAAAATTATTTTTATATAAAATGTAGGAACTGGGTTCTACAGTTTGAACCCCTGCTGTCTCTGGCTCCACACCCACCCCGCCATCTAGATTCTAGATGTGTGAAAGTTAGTGTATAAGCTAATGATCCATCATGTATGACATTCCTGGGAGTGTGTAAACGTATTATCATATCATTTTTGTATTTTCTCTATAGTTATGTACTGAAAACATGTATTTTGGTTTGTATTATCTTTTTAAAAATCTAATGTCTTATATTCTCCTACATTAATTTCACATTTCCACAAACTTCAACGTGTTTCCTTTCAAAAGGTATCAAGAATATGCATATCCTTGCTTCAGGTCTGAGCTACAGGCAGTTAGATTTGGTATGTCATTTTAGGCGAAAATTGAAAAAAGGGTCAGATCCTTAAGAGGTTAATGTGTAGGGAAGATCAGATGTCAATCATCTCAGATATACGCACATTAGATTTGTATCTGCAACATGACTTCTATTTGCTGCTCATTCACTGCAACTGCAATGAATGAATTGGATAACGTTAGCTTGCTGGAAAAAGGCACCAACTCAACTCTAATCCGTTTTTCTTTCAAAAGATCCTGCCAATTTTATTATAACCAACAATATCAACACTCACCATTGCTGTGCAAAATGTTGTGCAATTCCCGCTATTATATCTTAGTAATTTACTATCTTTTCGACACAAAAACGTACAGACTTGTTAGCTTGCACGCATTGCCGCCGAAACCAGGAAGCTGGAGCCTTTCAACTTTGACCCAAAACAAAGGTTCATCGATTGAGATGAAGAGCTCTAATTATTTATATACCGCCACCTAGTGTACTGAGAGGCGCAAATCATGAGACATGATTAAAATGTCCATGTTCATTGCTCATTGCGGCAGATATTTTAACGGAAAATGTTATAGATAAATAAAGGACAGTAAACTGCAATATTTATCCATGTCCATCTTCAAATGGTTGCATTTTATTCAAAAGACTGCACATGTGTAGTGAACTGAACACGTATGGGGCAATAGAGCCCTCAAGCAGTTATTTTTTATTTCACCTTTATTTAACTAGGTAAGCCAGTTGAGAACAAGTTCTCATTTACAACTGCGACCTGGCCAAGATAAAGCAAAGCAGTGCGATAAAAACAACAACAGAGTTACATATGGGGTAAACAAAACATAAAGTCAAAAATACAACAGAAAATATATATACAGTGTGTGCGAATGTAGTAAGTTATGGAGGTAAGGCAATAAATAGGCCATAGTGCAAAATAGTTACAATTTCGTATTAACACTGGAATGATAGATGTGGAAATAGAGATACTGGGGTGCAAATTAGCAAAATAAATAACAATATGGGGATGAGGTAGTTGGGTGGGCTAATTTCAGAATGGCTGTGGAAGGTGCAGTGATCGGTAAGGTGCTCTGACAACTGACGCTTAAAGGTAGTGAGGGAGATAAGAGTCTCCAGCTTCAGAGATTTTTTGCATTTCGTTCCAGTCATTGGCAGCAGAGAACTGGAAGGAATGGCGGCCAAAGGAGGTGTCGGCTTTGGGGAGACCAGTGAGATATACCTGCTGGAGCGCAGACTACGGGTGGGTGTTGCTATGGTGACCAGTGAGCTAAAATAAGACGGGGAATTGCCTAGCAGTGATTTATAGATGACCTGGAGCCAGTGGGTTTGGCGACGAATATGTAGTGAGGGCCAGCCAACAAGAGCGTACAGGTCACAATGGTGAGTAGGTAGTATATGGGGCTTTGCTGACAAAACGGATAGCACTGTGATAGACTACATCCAATTTGCTGAGTAGAGTGTTGGAGGCTATTTTGTAAATGACATCGCCGAAGTCAAGGATCGGTAGGATAGTCAGTTTTACGAGGGCATGTTTGGCAGCATGAGTGAAGAAGGCTTTGTTGCGAAATAGGAAGCCGATTCTAGATCTAACTTTTGATTGGAGATGCTTAATGTAAGTCTAGAAGGAGAGTTTACAGTCTAACCAGACACCTAGGTATTTGTAGTTGTCCACATACTCTAGGTCAGACCCGCCGAGAGCAGTGATTCTAGTCGGTTGGGCGGGTGCAAACAGCGTTCGGTTGAAGAGCATGCATTTAGTTTTACTAATGTTTAAGAGCAGTTGGAGGCTACGGAAGGAGTGTTGTATGGCGTTGAAGCCAGATGTGATATGAGCAAGCCCATACGTATATATCGTTATACATTTATAGGTACCTCTCAAACAATCGCCCCGTGGTGTTACCCAGCCAACTCCCAGTCTATCATGGCTCCAAAAGCCACACTTTCGCTGTCTCCAGCCCCTCCCCTTGCAACTCTCTCTTCCTCTCCTCTGGGAGTAGGCTCTTTTGAGGAGCTGTGTTTCGTGTTAGTGTTTCCAATATTCTGCCGTTATTTAAGGTACTTTAGTCTATTTATTTAAATCAAATAATTCCCACCTAATTAGTTAAAGTTGGTGCATGTTTATATTTCAACGATAAACCGAATTATTTCAGTCTAATTGTTTAACCAGTATTTTGCAGGGTCAAACATCAAACGTTACATCAAATAATCAACCAAAAAGCCTCAACCCAAGCACCTAAAACCAGTATTATGCTATGTCAAACATCAAACATTGAATCAAATAATAAACCGAATTGCTTCAACACAACTATTCAAAACCAGTGTTATGCTATGTCAAACATCAAACGCCACAGTTCAATCATATCAGCTCAAACGTTTCAGTTCAGTCAAACTAGTCATTCATCACTTTAGCTTTATGTTCCCAATTGTTATTAACGGGTTATACGGTTTAAGCAACCACAAACCCAACAGTTATCCCCAAATTATACAGTTTGGACAGCCACAGACGTTTTAATTCCCAATTAGTTTTCTATCAAGGTATACAGGTTTATCATTCACACTCTCATGCATACGACAACACTCGCACTGTCTAACTTTTTATAGTTCCTCCTATGAGTTTTAAGTCATAGCTCGCACTGTCTAATCTACTTTAAAGTACCCCCTATGAGCCTCCAGTCATAGCTCGCACTGTCTAATCTACTTTAAAGTACCCCCTATGAGCCTCCAGTCATAGCTCGCACTGTCTAATCTACTTTAAAGTACCCCCTATGAGCCTCCAGTCATAGCTCGCACTGTCTAATCTA